ACGTAATTCATAATATATGAATTCGTTTAACCGCCGCGTTGTCATATCACTCTAACACTTTACCTCGCTACCGTCTTCACTACCTGCCGGAGCGACTCCCCGCTGAGGTAACGCCCGTGATTTTCCGCTCGGCCACAGGCGTTGCTGTCATCTGCAACATAAAGGAAATAATTAACATTTCCATACCATTTCTCTTCGCATGCTATACTGCACGTGCTACTAATCATGCCTATCTTTAAAGAAATATGTGCTAAACAAGCTTATTCTTTTCAATCAACAGATACCTCAAGTACTTTCTGCTTACGTTATGTCAAGCCCGCTGAATAACCCCCTTGATCGCTGGCCCCGATGGCCTCCAATAATTAAGGGTATCCTTGGCTTGACTCATCCCTGGTCACAATCGGCTAGTTGCTGCATTTCCTTCTTCGCTAAGAATAGGGAAACGGGCACTATTCTCTGCGACTGGTGCGCTGAAGCCCTTCCACCGCGGAGACGAAGGCTGTACGTGGATGCTGCTCGCCATTATCTCACCGTAGGGCCGAATCCGGCGCATGAACTCTGTTGGGATTGCGATGAATCAATTCCGATAGTCCGCCCGGCTACCAAATGCCACATCTGCCCGAGGATCTTTCGCAATTACGTGATCGCCCGGTTTAATGAAGAAGAAAGCCCCCATGACCGAGCCGAAAGAGTCAATGTCTGTATTAAAGAAATGCATTTCGAGTTAGTTGGTGAATTCTAAGAAGATTTTTCTTACAATAAATGAACTAAGCTGACATACTGCTTTAAACTATTTCTATTATCATCTTTTCCTTCAAACAATAGCATGTTTCTCCAAGTAAATACTCGAGCTTCTTACCCTTTTTTCCAGCATGGACTCCTACGACCTTCCCATTCTTGGTGATCTTCCAGAAGACGACCCCGTTCACCGACCTCCGCCGATGCCCCTTGATCTGTGGCTCCGTACCGCTATATGTTGCAAGGCACTCTTCTACCGACACAAATCTGGTACTGGTGAACTTTTCTGCACAGCTTGTGTTTCCAGACAGGATCAACTGGAAGAGACATTCGAATTAGTAACTCGACATTATTTACGATTCGGTCATTTAGAAGCAGAAGGATTTGAGTATTGTTGCGCTTGCCGACAAAAGATTACGAAACTGCACACGGTGCGCCACTGCTCTATTTGTAAACTTTTCCGCGAAGACTTTGTTAAATACTTAACCTATTCCGAGGCAACCCCTCATTTAGACGAAGAAGTCTCTATCGTTTGCATTTCCCAGGACTATTTCGACCTCTAGAAGTTACTTCCCCTAGCGAATAATTCCCTAACTCCCAACTTCCAGAGTCAAATATTCCTAAATCTATTTGTCCGCGTTCTGACACTTTTGTCCAATAATCCCGCCCACCGCAGGACGCGACACACGTAATTAGAATTTCTCCAGGATTCCCCTGCTTCTCCCGATTCTCCAGATTCTCCAAAAACCTCGGAATCTCCAGAATCTCCGGAATCACCAGATTCTCTAGAATCTCCAGATTGTATAGGATATATCGAAACCACCAGAACAAGAACAAGGTTCGTCAAGAGTAATAAGGGACGAACGTTGGTATTCGACCCGACTCATCTTCCACATGAGAGTATTTGCTTATGTCTAAGTAAAGATTTCTTTCGTACTTCCGGATACAACAAGATTATTATTATAAAGCATCGTTCAGACAATCAGGTGGAAAGTTAAATAAATAAATGAATAAATAACAGCTTTGAATAGAATTATTTGAATAAAGATTTTATTGAACCATATTCCCGTTTTCTACCTCTCCTCCATCGCAGCAGTTCGGGTTTTCACCATCCCAGGTAAAGCCGGTGTAAGCAGGTTGACCTAAAACAAAAGAGAACCAAATAACCTGTCGCTCTAGACGTGACACTACTTTAGCTAACAAACTATCTCGAGATTCAATTACATTAACTCGGTTTGGGTTTCTAAGAGGCACAGGAGGTGCTTGTTCAAATGAAACGTTATCGTTATCAAATATTTCCTCATAAAAATGAGTGCTCGTAGCATCATCATCAATATTAACTACTGATTCATTTTCATTTTCGCATTCGTCATCGTCATCACTAGTTTCAGCATTATTGTTGCATTCTTTGATTACTACTCATAGAGATGGTGTAAGAGATTTTGGATTAGAGAGAGGTTCAATCGGAGAAATTTGAGACAAAGGCGCTATCGTCATATTCGAAGAAGTTGAAATACGAATTTTCTTTCGGGGATCAGAAAATAATGATTCATCCGAAGAGTATCCTTCCTCATCTATAGTTCTCAAAGGGAAAGTAGAGATTTCAGGGGGATTTCTAGACAAAGCATCAGCGTTATTATTTAATTTTCCTTTTTTATATTGTATTTCGTAATCGTACTCAGCTAATTTTGTCCTCCATTTCCATAAGCGAGAAGAAGAATCCTTAACAGAATGAAGTCACACTAAAGGCTTATGATCTGTTGTAATTATGAATTTTTTGCCAAATAGATAAGGTCTGAAATAATGACAGTATATAATCGCTAGACATTCTTTCTCAATAGTTGAATAATTTTGTTCGGCTTCATTTAACACTCGAGAAGTATAAGCTATAGGTAAATCGTCGGTTCCATGTTTCTGACTCAATACTCCACTTATTGCATAACCTAAAACCTCGGTTGTCAATTGAAATAATTTATGAAAATCAGGATATTGAAGGATAGGATCGGAATATAAGGCAGATTTCAAAATTTGAAAAGCTTCAGTGTGTTTAGAAAGCCATATAAATTTAGTGTCTTTTTTCAATAAATCAGTTAAAGATTTGGCAACTTTAGAAAAATTTGAAATAAATCTTCTGTAGTATCCTGCTAGTCCCAAGAATTGCTTTATATTTTTAGGGTTTTTGGGGATGGGAAAATTAGTAATGGCTTCGACCTTTGCAGGGTCTGGCCTGACACCACCTCAACGCATATTTTATGACCTAAATAGGCGACTTCTCGTCGTAAGAATTCGCACTTGTCTGGCTGCAATTTTAAATTAGCTTCTCTTAATCGTTTCAT